TATTGTACGGCATAATATAGGTATATATATAGCATACAACTTGGTATTATTCACACACTTATAACGGAATTCAATCATCGCAATTCCTAGATTTCGAGAAAAATAAGTTTCGCAATAATATTATACACTATATACAGTTAATAGTTTTTCACGCCCTTTGTTATTAAAAACCTTACACAATAAAAGTGTTCAAGTGTAGCTATATAATACACAATGCATTCGTCTTGTGCACTTAAATAACATAATACCTACATCTACTTCGTGCAGTTTATAAATAAACGAACTTTTGTATATAGCTGCAGTATAGTATCTATTACTGCGTATAATGATATATACCATTGTGTATTGTTAGAAGTATATAGTTAAATCGTTTCCAGGGAAAACATTTGAATTCATTGCAAAAGCAACGAGTATGGGCAAGTAACTAATAAATATTATATTGCTACATATAAGCTGCAGGCCACACGATAAATATAATGGTTTGCAAACAACTCGGACGGTACGGATGATACGAATCAATTCGATCAACTCATCGGTCAATGAAAACGAACAAATGTCGGAATAGAAAAACAATGTATATAGGTAAATTATATTTCGATATAATATTATATTATATAATATATATATATATATATATATATACACCTATATTTTTTTTTTATTAGCTTCCGGTATAAAACCATAATAGCTCAGCAATTACATTTAGGCCCGGTTTTTCAATCACCAAACTATTCGTTAAATAACTATTCGTTGAATAAACCTATTCAGCAAATAAACTTCCAAATAAAACAAAAAATTATGACAACTGTTTTTCAATTTAAATTTATTATCCGAATAGTTATTCGRAGAATAAAACTAATCAGTAGATAATAATGATAATATGTATTAGGAGTTGTGCATTGTGGAACAAGTTGAAGAGTTCTGATCCATTGTAATTGGTTGAAATATCTCATCAGTGATAAGACAATATTATCAAAGAAAAATCTGTATATTTTTATTATAAACAATAAACTGTTATATTGCTATTCTATATTTCTGTATTATTCTGTTATTCATCAATCATCATTATGTCGTCAAATAAAAGGAATAGGGCAACTAACTTTTCCTTTGAGGAAAAAGAACTATTATTAAAATATGCAATTGTTGTCTTGCATTTCCTTCTTCGATCACTTCTTCTATTATATTTATATTTTCATTTTCTGGTAAAAATAAATCTAACAATTCTGGTGGATCTAGATCATTGTTGTCACAAGCAATGTTGTGTAAAACACAGCAAGCAACAATAACTGCCTGAGTTGTTTCTAACTTTAACCGTAATCCTAAAGATAATACTGGAAATCTGCGTTTTAGAACTCCATATGACCTTTCTACAGGATTTCTAGTTCTTATAATTGATTCGTTGTACAGCTGTTCAATGCGATTTTGAGGATTAATGAAAGGTGTGACAATGTGACGAGAATTAGCATAACCACTGTCTGCTACAATCAAACCATTTCCCCATTTGCCACTGATTAATTGGGTATATACCTTTGATTTTTTAAATATTGTTTGATCATGGCAAGACCCGGGCCAACGAGCTACAATATCCATAATTTTTAAGTTAGGACAAGCAATAGTTTGGACATTTAATGAAAAATATCCTTTTCTATTTCTGAAGTATTCAGCATTATCTCCACCTATATAAACATTTCATTTTTATTTATTTATTATTTATATATTTTATATTTATTTATATACTTATTTTTAAATACCTATATACATTCAGTTCCACATTATTTGAAATTGCTTATTACTTATTAGGTAWTAGAAGGGGAAAATATCAATTAATTTACAACACTCCCAAAACATATTATAAAAGATTGCCCTTATAATATACTAATATTTTATTACCTGGATTTTKTATTTTTACATGAGTGCAATCAATAGCACCAATAACTCTAGGGAATTTAGCGATATCATAAAAACGGTTCTGTAATGTATTTATTTCTAATTCTGTGTCTGGCATTTTTATGAASCGTGGCAGCAGTCTTGCTAATGCAACACTGACATCACGAACAATTAATGATGATGTAGTTTTGCTTACTCCCAAAAAATCTCCAGCAGTTATTAGAAAATTTCCAGTA